TAGTTCACCATTTCTCCCACTGTTTCTATGATTCCATTTCCCTTCCTCAAATCAGATAAACTTACATACAGGACAAAGGGTACAGAAATCAAAAACAGTTAAAAAGAGAATAAAACAAATGAAGAAAAAAATCAAAGGAAGAAAAAAAATAACAGCAAACAGTACACAAAAAAAGAAAAAAACTTTTGTTTCCATTTCTTGGAGTTCTTTACAATAAACATTATTTTATATAGTCACATGCACATAGCTATTGAGTTACTGTGATCCTCTGTTAAGAATAACCTAGACATATTCTAGTTATTACAAATGAGGGAAACCACAATCTTTGGATCTAGCTTGCTTCACTTACTATAATTTTTCTAAGTCTTTCTATTTTCTTACAAATGGGGCAATGTCATTCTTTCTGATGGAAGCATAAAATTACATTGTGTATATACACCACATTTTCTTGATCCATTCATCTACTGAAGGGCATCTGGGTTGATTTACTATCTTAGCAATAGTAAATAATACTGCAATGAACAAAATTGTGCTGTAGCTTTAGTGTGGCTTTGTTTGTGGTCTTTGGGGAGAAATTCCTAGGAGTGGGATTGCTGGGTCATAGGGCAGCTATATGTTTAGTCTTTTCAGGAACCTCCATACTGCTTTCCGGAGTGGCTGAATAAGTTTACATTCCCACCAACAGTGCAGTAGTGTTCCCTTTTGCCCACATCCCCACAGCATCTATTATTATTAGTTTTCTTGATAATGGCCATTCTAATCAGGGTGAGGTAGAATCTCAATATTTTGCTTTGGATTTTTTATGGCCAGAGATGTTCAACATTTCTTCATGTGTCTTCTGGTCATTCTTACTTCTTCAAAGAAGTCTCTTTTTAAGTCTTTAGCCCACTTATCAATGGGATGGTTGTTTCTTTAAGGATTTGTTTGGGGGGGGTTAATTTTTTTGAACTCTAAGTATTTAATTTTTAATATGAAGCCCTTATCTGTTACATAGCTTGTAAAGATCACCTCCCATTCTGTGGGCTTTCTATTTATCTTACTAGCTATATACTTTACCATGCAGAAACTCTTCACTTTAATGCAATCCTATTTATCCAGCCTTTCTTTCATTAGTTGTGATTTTGGATCTTTATTTAGGAAGTTTCATCCTATGCTAAGGATCCCTAGTGTTTCCCCTATCCTTTCTTGTAATATGTTCTTTGTATGTGATCTTACATTGAAGTCTTTCATCATTAGGAATGGATTCTGGTGCAAGGTGATATATACAGATCCAAGTTCAATTTTCTAAACGTGTATGGTCAATTCTGCCAGCATCATTTGCAACAGGCAACTTAACATTTGTGGATCATGGATAATAGCACAAAGATCTCTGAAAATTACCTTCACATTTGGAGAATGAATATCTTGAAAAGGGGAAATCTGTAAGTGTGTTGTTAAGTACCGTGGGATTCTAAATAAGAGAAATGAGAAATACACATAGATCTGCTATCTTTGCAAAGGGTGAACTTTCAATGTGAGAAAATGAAGAACAAATATGGGTCAATAATATTTTTATGATTTTGGTAAATTATTGAATAACTGCTTTATGAGAAACTTACACATATCAGAACTCATTACATGCCAGAACTCATAGAGAACTTTGAGAAAAGACACATACACGTGAGGTAATAGTGTTTGTGAAAGTACTTACAAGGAAATCAAGCATGGTGACTTACCTCAGTCTAGATTCCCTTCCACATTATGTTTAGACATAATGAATGAATCCATTGAGAAAGAATGTGGGGGTGCCAGAGGTTCACACTTACAAATCTTAACTTAGCAACTCAGGATGCTGAGATCTGAGGATTGCTATTCAAAGCCAGTCCAGGCAGGAAAGTCTGTAGACTCTCATCTCCAAGTAACCATCACAAAGCTGGAAGTAGAGTGGTTGTTCAAGTGTTAGACAGCTAGCTCTGAGCAAAAAAAAGCTCAGGGGGAGCATCCAGGTCCTGTGTTCAAGCCCCAGAAACAACACACACCACACACGCACATGCACACACACACACACACACACAAATAGAACAAGTGTCATTTGAACATGAGTTCTAGTAAGAAGGGAATCTGTAGGGAAAAGAAAGCATTTGTAAAAAAAAATACAAATTATAAATATAAACTGGATTAAAATACAAATGTTCAAATACTTATATTTCCCTGAAAATCAAAATCAATTTGATAATACTATTTAAATAAGAACTCTAAAAGGCATTATGAGGCAAAATAAATTCAGCAAAGAACCTAAGCGAAGCTGGCAGAAATAAAAGAAGTATTCAGTAGTACTCCTATATCTAGGCCAATGTAAAAAAATAGATTACTGCACATCAACAACTAAATAGGAAGATATTTACTCCATGCTTATTATACTACTAAAAGTATCCAATCCAGGATAAATGCAGCAATCCTTCTACAGTAAATATGTAAAAGAAGATATAAACAAATGGAGATATATTTATAAACAAGAAGACTCCATATTGTAGGGATATAAATTTTTTCCAAATTTTGCTCCATATTTTTAATCAGATCTTAATTTTGTAAGATGATTTTAAATTTGAAAGGGGAAGAGTTAAGAATTATGAAAAGACAGGGCTGGGAAGGTGGCTCAGTGGCAGAGCACTTGCCTTGCATGCCTGAGGCCCTGGGTTCGATTCCTCAGCACCACATAAGCAAAAAGAAAAAAGCTGAAAGTGGCGCTGTGGCTCAAGTGGTAGAGCGCTAGCCTTGAGCTTAAGAGCTGAGGGACAGTGCCCAGGCCCAGAGTTCAGGCCCCACGACCGGACCCCCCCCAAAAAAAAGAATTATGAAAAGACAGCAAGAACAATAGAAAACAGAAAAGTGGTATTAGAAATCAATTTCTATTATTATAAACTTAAGAAATGAATAGTGCTCTAAGTAAACACACCAGGGAAGACAGCTGACAAGAAGACCTGAATGTAGAAATCTGGTAAATAGCACAGTTTTACAGATAAATGTGATATAAGGCAAAATACTCTATTTGGAAAAGAAATAAATTTCCATTACACTATCCACAGAAATAGATTCTATTAGGTTACAATGATAAAATGTTCAGGCCAATATAAGGAAATAAAAGGGATTATTTTTAAGATTTGCAATAGAGATTTTTTTAAAAAATATGACTGATAAAGGCCCAACTCACAAAAAGATCAACATGTTGGGCTGTAATAAAATTTGAAATTTCTATTTGAGGGAAAAATGTCATAAACAATATTTGAAGGCAAATCCTTGATGATAACACAATGTTTATAAATATGTAAGTATCAATATGTAACTATCAAATGATTACAATATAAAATCAAAGCTATGCATGGTAGTACATGCCTGTAATACTGGCCACTAGGCAACTGCAGCATGAGAATCACTGTAAATTTGAGTGTATCCTGGGCTCCCTAGCAAGATACTATCTCAAAAAAAACTTTTGAAAGTTGAAAAATAATACAAAGCAAATAATCTAAAGAAAATATTCCTGGTAGGTAAACAGATAATTTATAATTAAAACAAAGCAAAATGGCTGATGATTTTTAAGTGCTCAATCAAGTTCAGTCATAGAAATCACAAACACATTGAACTTCTGTTACACATCAACAACTGAAAACATTATCTGATAACAAAGATATGAAACAACAGAGCTCATATTCTGAAAATGCATATTCCCCATTGATGTAAGTAACCTGGAGGATTATTCATTTACAGTTACTGAATTGTGCACACTCTATTACCCAGCAAATCCACATCTGTGTACCCATACCTAGAGAAATTCTCACAAAGAAAATATTTTACTAAGATATTCATAACAAAAGAATGATACTCTTAGGAGAGGAACACAAAGGCAAAATGTCTACGTGCATCTAATCACACAAGATGATATTTATCAAAATGAACTCCAGGAAAGGGGAACAAGAGGTTTTCTTTTATTTGCTATTTTTGTTTTTCTTTTATTTTTTTGTTTGTTCATTTATCTGTCTTTGGGAGTATAAAGGGAGGCACAGAAATGAAGAGACAAAGAGTAATTAATCTTGTCTAGGTGCAATTATTTGTCTTTTGCAATACATTGGGTTTACTTGTAGATTTATACACACATTCTAATTATTACAAATAATTAGACATGCAGCCCATGTTTCTTTGTGCCTGGCTCACTTCACTTACTATAATTTTTTTCCACGTCTTTCCATTTCCTTACAAATGGGGCAATGCCATTTTTTTCTGATGAAAACATAGAATTCCACTGTGTATTTAAAGCACATTTTCTTGGTCCATTTGTCCACTGTGGGGTATCTGGGTTGATTCCATATCTTAGTTATGGCAAACAATGCTGTAATGAATATAGTCGAGCTGGTGGATTTAGTATACCCTGATTTGTAGTCAGTTAGATAGATGCCCAGGAGTGAGATTGTGATTCCTTTCCTACCTTACTTGAACTGACCCAAAACTTTGGCAAAATAGCAAGACATAAAATTAACCCACAAAAATCAGTGGCTTTTCTTTTTTATTTTTAAACGCCTCAGTAAATTCTTTTTTTTTTCCTTTTTAAATTTATTGTAAACGTGATAAACAGGGGGGTTACAGTTACAAAAGTAAGGTAATGAGTACATTTCTTTTTAAACACAGTTACCCGCTCCCTCATTTTCTCCCACTTACCACTCCCCACTCCCCTACTTCCCCAAGTTGTAATGTTAATTTCCAACATAGTTTCATTGTTGCATTAGTTTACCCTTTGTCCTGCTGTTTCTGTGATTCCCTTTCCCTTCCACATATCAGGTAAGCTTATATACAGAAAACTAAAACAGAAAGAAAAAAATAAACCTGCATACAAGACATAAAAAAAAAAAACTTCTTTGTTCCAGGGAACCACATGAGACCCACAGCCCTACTGCTTTACCATCGCAAGATAACCTTCTCTGGTCCCCGGGGCAAGCAGGATTGGAGACAGAGGAGTCCACAAATAATAGATGATACAAAAGCATCACTTGATGTTAAAGAGTTCCCTGATTCTGAGGTACATCAGACCCGAATGGCTGACCGGTGACACTGCGTTTCATCAAGAAAAAGGAAATCAACCCTTTTTTTTTCTTTTTTGGGGGGGTCAGGTCATGGGGCCTGAACTCGGGGCCTGGGCACTGTCCCTCAGCTCTTCAGCTCAAGGCTAGAGCTCTACCACTTGAGCCACAGCGCCACTTTCAGCTTTTTTCTTCTTGCTTATGTGGTACTGAGGAATCGAATCCAGGGCCTCAGGCATGCAAGGCAAGCGCTCTACCACTGAGCCACCTTCCCAGCCCAGGAAATCAATTCTTAAAGAAGTATCTGGAGACTTTTCTTAATGGCCAGAGTGGACCGAAGATATTTTTTCTTCTTTGTGGAAAAGCCATTGAAATGAGATGTTTTGCAGACCAAGGCCACAGTGTCGTTGGTGTGGAAATCAGTGAACTTGGGATACAGGAATTTTTTAAGGAGCAAAATCTTTCTTACTCAGAAGAACAACTTATTGAAATACCTGGTGCCACGGTATTTAAGAGTTCTTCAGGAAACATTTCACCGCACTGTTGCAGCATTTTTTACCTTCCCAGGGCAAATACTGGCAATTTTGACAGGATTTGGTATAGAGGAGCATTAGTCGCCATCAATCCAGATGATCGCAAACGCTATACAGATATAATACTGCCTCTCTCAAGAAAAGGGTTCCACTACCTCCTGGCTGTTTTGTCTTATGATCCAACAAAACATGCAGGTCCACAGTTTTATGTTACAGGTGCTGAAATTAGAGGCCTGTTTGGGACAAAATGCAATATTAGTTGCCTTGAGAAAGTTGATGCTTTTGAAGAATGTCATAAACATTGGGGAATTGACTAAATTTTTGAAAAAAATTATATCTGCTTACAGAAAAGTAAAGAGGATATGATTGTCTTTGGGCATTTAAAAATAATGATAAGGATTGATAATATAATAAATCTTTAATTTTTTTCTCATAAATCATAGATTTTTTTCTCAAAAACACACAAAACTTCTTATAGCTCATTTAGAGAAGAGCATATAATTGGAGAGAGACATACATGTATGTCTTATAGATTACAAGACATTTTCATAAAAGACATTTCTTCTGTAATTAAAAAAGAAAAGAAAAATATAATGTAACAAATTATAGACATTGAAAAACTGACAGGTTTATAAAATTTTAGGTCACTGAAATAACATTTCAATAGAATTTAAAATAGTCCACAAAATTATGTAAACTATTAACTATTATTACCTAAACTATTAACTATTATTATAAACCCTAATCTTATACTCAGATCCTGGCACCTCTTTTCAACATGTTTTTTACCATGTATGGTTTTAAGTATAATTGAGTCATGAAACAGATTAAAAATTTTAATTAAATAAATCAACCCATATAAAATAAGATACTTTTCTCATATTGTAAGAATAAAATTTTTAAATTTCTTGGTTCCAATTTTTGGAGTTCATTTTGACACGATTCATTATATATGGTCTTATGCACTTAGCAATTAGGCTATTGTGATCCACTGCTAAGAATATTATAGACATATTTTGTACACAACATTGAGAAGAGTGAGGCTGAAAGCAGGAAAGCAGCTCCTTTGAAATAACATGAAAAAAATTTTTAAAAAAACTAGGAATTAACCAAAGATATGAAGGATCTCTATGACAAAAACTTTAAAAACCTGAAAAAAGAAATTAAAGCAGATTTAAGAAAGTGGAAAAAAACTCCCATGCTCCTGTATTAGAAGGATTAACATTATGCAAATAGCAATACTGCCCAAAACTAACTACAAATTCAATGGAATACCCATCAAAATCTGAACAATATTCTTCATTAGTTTTATATCTCACAAGTAATTAATGTTTTCCAGGTGAAATTTGGCAGAAAAAAGTTTACCACCCCTGTAAGAGTAGAAAAATCTTTTTCATGCTTCTTTCTTTCTTTCTTTCTCTCTTTCTTTCTTTTCTTTCTTTCTTCCTTTTTGTCAGTCATAGGGCTTGAACTCAGGGTCTGGGTGCTGTCCCTGAGCTTTTCTGCTCAAAGCTAGTGCCCTACCACTTTGAGCCACAGCACCACTTCCAGTTTTCTGGAGATAAGAGTCTCATGGACCTCCCTGCCCAAGTTTGTTTTGAACTGAGATCCTCAGAACCCAACCTTCTGAGGATTATAAGCATGAGCCACCAATGCCCACCTCATACTTTTCTTTTTTATGTGCATAATAGAGAACATCATCTTTCAAATTGCATAAGGAAAAACTGGTGAACAAGTATGGAAACATACTTTTCATCATTGTGACAAATAGGTGAGAGACACAATTTACAGGAGGAAAGATTGATTTGGGGACATAGTTTCAGTCTATGATTGACTGTGTTCCTGGGCATCTGATAAAGGAGAGCATGACAGAAAGACATGGTGTAGTTCAGCTTCTCACCTCATGGGGGCCAGAAAGCAGAGACACAGAAAGCAAGGTGTTGAAGACAATGTCTGCCTTTCCAGGGCATGCCTCCCTTGATCTAGCAGGCTTATTTACAAAAACATCATTATATCCACTAATAACATGATAGCCCTCATTATCTAGTCACTTCCCCCAAACTCATCACCTGGTCAGCCAAGCCCACAATGTCTTTGGAAAACATTTCATATCACATCATAACAAAAATTCAAGCTATATCCTTTATGTGATTTTAAGATTAGTTCCATAAACCCAAAGCAAGCCCACTCTTGTCATCCAGCCACCTGCTGTGTGTATCTTCTATTCCCTCACTCTCTCCCAGTCCCACCCTCCCATCTCCACCCATAAGTTGTGTTAGGTTTTTAAAAAGAGGTAGCTGAGTAAGAACCACATCACACATCAGGTAAGTGGTAGGTTTATTCATCGTTCTGGCTGGCACCAGGCCATCTTGCCCCTCCACATAGCTGGGAAAGGCCTGGGAAAGAGCTGGGGAAAAGAGCTGGGAAAGAGAGAGAGCTGGAAAAGAGGTGGGAAAGAGAGAGAGCTGGGAAAGAGGGCATCTGGGCCTGGGTTAGGCCTTATCTAGGGTATGGGCAGAGAAAGGTGTGGCCACATCAAATTCAGATGTGATCTCAGCAGATGCAGATGTGACCTCTTCCAGGTAAGCCAGTTGCCTAGGTAACGCAGGTACTGGGTGGAGACTTTGCTGCGAGGAGGGTGGAGTCTGCTCGAGGAGGGTGGAGTCTGCTCGAGGAGGGTGGAGTCTGCTCGCCATCCAGGACGGGACATTACATTCCAGCCTTTTAATAATCATGAAATAGGGAGCGGATTCTCTCTGGCTACTTCCTGCTGGCACGGGGCATTGACAATAGAGGTAAAAGGCTGGAATTTGGTCCCCTCCCAGAGAAGGCAGTGAGCAGCAGCTGTTCCTTGGTGGCATGAGTCCTTAGATGAAGTCTGGAGAAGACTCATGAGCATTGAGGGGCTGGAAACAAAAATACTAGAGAGCAAATAAATGGCAAGAGGAAGGACTTGGGGCTGAAAAATGTTGGTAGAAATGTCCCTAGCTACTTCTGACCTCTGTTGACTAGGTAGAGAAGTCAGGTGACAAAGGCAAGAATATAAATTCCTGTCCAGTTAATAGGTAGACAGGTATGGACACTAGATGGGCAGGCTTCTTACTTCTATTGACCTCCTGACTCTGGTTAATTTTGAAAGGGCAGGCACAAAGTGGCTGATGTGACATTATCTCCTCTTATTCCTCTCCATGTTCCCTTGTTCCCCAGACTGGCTGAGTCTAGATGCTTGTTACTGGGATGGCTTGTCCTAGTTGGTATTCAAGGAGGTTTGAATTCAAGTCCTGGGCACTGTCCCTGAGCACTTCTGCTCAAGGCTAGCACTGAACCACTTTGAATTATAGTGTCACTTGCAGTGTTTGCTGGTTAGAGATAAGAGTCTTGAGCCATGCTTCCAGCCTGGTTCTTTGCAGGTTAGTTGGGAGATGGAGTCTTAAGGATTTTTCAACCTGGGCTGGCTTTGAACTGCAATCTTTGCCACAAAAGCCCTTTATTATTTCCCATTTAAGCAACAAGGAGATCAAATAGAATAAAGCTTACCTGGTCCTTATCAAGAACTGAGCAACAAATATTCTGCAATGACAAAACTTTTTAGATGTGATGAGAATTTTAGCACAGATAGGCCCAGTATTTTAGAACCACATAGTCAGTAGTAGAATATAAAACACAAAACAAAAAAGGCAAAACTCAAAACCTAAAATTTTTGACAACAATGTGTAGACATCTTTGCTAACAAAGCACATCAGATGGTTGGGTCTCACCAGGGCCTGTGAAAAGATCAACTTGTTAGCAAGGCACCATAGAATAGATGGATGGAGTAGTAAGCTTGGTGGAAGGTTAAGGATCAGATGGGGCCAAACCCTTAGCCCACCATGTGGCCAAGATGGCGAACTCAAGATGGCAAATTGAGTCCTTAGATGAAGTCTGGAGGAAGCAAGTCTCTTGGACGAAGTCTGGAGAAGTCTCATGAGGCATTGATGGAAACCTGAACAAATGGAAACTTTGACAATTTTCTAACCTAGAATGGCTAGCCTTTGAGAGGAAATCTAGAGGAGGGGGTTCTTGGGACCTAGCCTGCATCACACTCTTCAGGGCACAAGCCAAAATGTTGTACAAAAGAGAAAGGGAGAGATAGGGAAAGTTAGACATGATTGGCAGAGAGAGCAAAGAGAGCCTGAAAGTAAACAGACTTCTGACCATTTACCATTGCAGTGGCAAAAACTGTTTAAAACTGAGAATGGCATAAAAATTGACTCGCAGCACCTCATTAAATGTGTAGGAGTCAGTCTGGTGAGTGAAGGAGAGCTGACCAGGCAGAAGTGGCATCCCGACTTCCTCCAGAGCCCTCTAGAGAGAAGTGGCTAAGCCAAGCCCCCAAAACCAAGCGTCCTCAACTTCAGAGGTGACCGGCCTTTCAGCTAAAGGCCGTAGGAGCTCTCTGGTGTGGTGTCACATCTGGACAGAGACTGAGCAACAGAGAACAGTAGAGAGTAGTTTCACTCACCAGAGTAGAGAAGTGGTGTGGATGTGAATGTGAAGGCCGGCAATGGTATTGGTGAAAATCTCGCATGATGTCTCAAGGCAGTTCGATTCAGAGAAAAGGGGTGGTTAGGAAATTCTAATATTTCCAACTCAAAAACCTCATCTAAGCCAAGGCACCATATGTAAGGTATATTAAAAGGTAGGTTTCATTAGGTAGCCGATGAAAAGAACACCACGTGCTATTCAGGTAGGAAAAGAAGTTAATTTACTGAACTGCTGCCCCCACCAAGCATGGTGGAGAAACATGGCTGAAAAAGGAAAGGGCGGGGAGAAAGAGGGGTGACCTACCTCTGGGCCAGAACTTATCTAAGCCAGGGACAGGAAGAGGTGTGGCCAGGTGGGGGAAAGGTGTGGCCACACTGGATCTGGATGTGACCTCAGGGTCTGGGACCCTCCTAAGGTCAGATGGGAGGCATGGGACCAGAGGTGGCCTGGGATGTGACCTAGTAGGAGAGGAAGGTGGCTGCTTCCAGGTCTGCCAGTTACACAATATCTGCAAGAAGTGCGTCTCTTGGATGAAGTTTGGAGGAAGTATTCTCAGGCAGGGAGCTGGACAAAGATGAAAAGGAAATACATTACTAAAAAGAAAATATTGGATGTCCATGGCTTGGAGGTGACCTAAGGGATGAGGTAGTGAGGTCTTTGGGGAGGAGAGCAGTTAGCTCAGTGTTACTCACCCAGATCTTCAGGGATGCGAGATAGCCTTACCTTGGTAGGCCCAAGGGGGGAACAGGTATACCTCGAGGTCAGTGTTGGTTTAGAAGGGGCAGGAGCAGGA